CTCGTTTCACCTAGCGAACGACCAGTGGATTCCTTAGCAGTGGAGCCACTGTGCCACCAGGGGTCCTCACAGCCCTCCCAGGTGCTAGGATTACCCTGGTCCCAGAGAGTTCCTTGTGGCCCATCAGCCTGTGGGCGTCCTGGAGACAGGTAGCACCTCTTGTGTGTCCATGCCTCCTACCGATACATATCAGCACTTAGAGAGTTGACTGGGCTGACTTGAATTCTGCGGGAGATTTTCACATCTGCAAGCTGAACTGTATGGAGCTGATGTTTTCCTTGGTCAAGATCAGCAATTTCGTAAGGCTCAACCTAATGTAGCCACTTTGTAACAATAGTTATTATTCCTTCTTGGGCTTTTCAGAACATTCTTAATCAGCCAGACTGCTTTAGAGCTCTAAGAAGTATTCCCGCGCCCTGAGAGACAGTGCTGATTCAATTCTTTCTCCATCTCCAGTTTGCCTCGCCCACAGTGAATGCCGATGTCAGAAATGTTAGAATGGCATTGCTCTTGTTTTCTTCCATGCTGCTGACACTTTCTCATCCCACTTTTTTTCCTGATTCAAATGTTTATCATAAATATTAATCATAAGTGGTACAATGGTAACTGGCAGCATTATCGTATTTTGTCTGTCTGATGAGGGAAAAAAAACATTCTCACACAAAAGGCAAAAGAGATTAATTTCTTTACAGGTCGTTTTTCAGGGTGCCAGTCGGTGACAGTGGTAGGTGGAGGGTTTGTTTGTAGTTTTTCCCAACAGCTTTAACTTCACTGGTGACGCTGTAGAATGATGGTCGGCCTCCCTACTTTTATCAACATGCAAGTCGAATGCTCTAGAACAGTCTCCAACACGAGTATGTAGGTTTAGGCACCATCAGCAAAAAGAGTAAGTCGTTTTAGGCTTGTCCTGCTTCTCAGTCCCTCAGCAGGAGACAATCCTATTGGCAGGGCTCAGGGTTTAAGGGAACAAGGCATTGTGGCCGTGGTCTTCAAGGACAATGGCTAAAGGGAAAGGTGAGCTGAAAAATAGAAAGAAAATATCAAAACAGGCCAAACTGGTTTTTAAAATCTTTTCACGTTTGACGGGGCCCGAGGTATTAAATGTAGAAGGTTTTGGAGATTATCTCGAACTAATGCAGTAAAAGATTGGGCAGTTAGAGGATTTTTGATTCAGGATATTATATACTTTGCTTCTTTTTTTTTCTATTGTAAATCGTGAGCAACAAACCCTCAAAACGGGAGTTGTTGTTTTTTTCTGGAGAGGTGGTCTCCATTTTATCATTCGGTTTGTTTCTAGAAGGTTCCATTCACAGTCAGGAGCTCCTTCACCCCGTGCTTCTCCCAAGCCATCACTGTACTTGCCTGTGCCTCTATAAATTTTCTTCATTTCTGTTCGTGAAGGCAAATGACGCGCGAGCTACTGAAGCTTGGAAATACATGGCTCATAACCCTGATGGAGATGCGTCTGCCTTTATGACTTGAGAACACTAGTTCCTTAAGAACCTGGGGATCCAAGGTGGCTCATCAAACCTCCTGTTATTGATCTAATTGCCTTTATGCTGAACATTGAGGTGAGGATGCTGCTGAACGTACTCTTTTGAACTTGAGTAAGCTGTTCGAATGAGTCAGAAAACTCCACATCCAGGTGATCCCACCCAACAAGAAAATCCCTTGTATTTGATTTCCTTCTAGTTCTTTACCTGTTGCCTGTTAAGGCTAATTCAAAAATCAGGAGGAACGACTTGGGAGAAGTCAGAGCTTGAGGTGCCAAGGGTGAGAGGGCGGATTCTGATGTGGAATTGTTCGCTTCCAACCACCCCCTATTGTTAATCCCTGTCAGGGGCTTTTCTTCCATTTCTGTCTGGCTTTTCTCCCTTTTTTAGGCTGCAAACTGGAAGCTCAATAGTTTGAAACCACCAGCTATTCTGTGCGGAAAAAGATTACCCTTTCTACTCCCACAAAGAATCGTCGTTTCAGAAACCCACAGGACCATTTCTACCCTGTGCTCTAAGATCGCTTTGAGTTGGAATTGACTCAATGGCTGTGGGTTTTTGTTTTGTTTTGTTTTTGAACTCTACTAGAAGGCTTCACAACGATGCTGGGGAAATGTCATGATCTTGTCAGTGCATTTTTCCACGAACTTTTTGAAGCCCCTGCATCTGTCTTTTCGAAAATCAACTCTCCCAACGGAGGGATTGCTTATATGCAAGACAAATATTAAAGAAAGCGCAGAAAGCCGGTACCATGGGCAAGTCCTTGGAATCGGCTTAGGCTGCATGGAGGGTGGGGGTGGGGTGGGGGTGGAGGTGGGGGGTGGCCTTGTCCAGAGAGGAGGCAGGTCCAGTGGCTACAATTGCAGTCACGTGGTGGGAGGGGGCTCTTGGCTTCCACCTCCAAATCTCCTCCTCTGATGTCACAGTGCTCTAGCCATCCCTGGGAGAGTTCATTAACATTCCCGGGGTGCCTTGGCGCGGGAAGGAGGGGAGCCAGCAGCGCTCGCGCAGCGGGGGCGCGCGCAGCAAGTCCCAGTCCGCCCAGCAGGGTGACATTCGAAGTGGGATCCTGGGTGCCGTCTGGCGGCCGGCTCCCTGGCAGCTGTCTCTGGGCCAGTGGGCAGAGGCACATTGCATTGTCCCTGAGGAGACTCGCATCTTGGAAGGGCGCGGAATTGACCGGAGGGAGGAAGTGAGCAGAGCGTCTCCATCACGCGGGTGTCAATAGCAGCCGGAGGGGCGCCTGAGAGAAAAGGAAGAGGAGGGGAGAGGAGTGCGTGCTGGGGGGAGCCGGGGCATAGCATTTTTGGTGGATGCTATGAAGCCAGCCATGGAAACTGCCGCCGAGGAAAATCCTGAACAAAGCCAAGAGAGAAAAGGTACCCAGCCTCTGACAATAGCCTGTTTCCAGCTTTGCACTGGGGGGTCTTTGAAAGGGTCAAGCCTGGGTGTTTTTGTCTCTTTGAAAATGGCTCTGAAACCACCTGAGTGGCAGGGCTTTGCTTTCCTCCTCCGGGTGGCTTTTGCATGTGGACAGATGCTAAATTGCGAGAGCAGCCGCCACGCTTCAACTCAATACCTCTTCCAAATCCTTCTCCCCAATGTGGTATTGCATAGAAGGAGCCCTGGCGCTTGCCACCCGGGGGAGCTGGCTTAGGAAAGTGGTCTGATTTTTCTTAAATAGCATTAGTGGTCACTCCAGTCCTGTGTTCTGAACGTTACTCCGGCTTTAGAAGCCTTGGGCATGGTCCAGGGACCTGGAATGTGGGGCTTTCTGCTAATGCCGTGGAACTGTGGGGCACGCGGGTGCAATGTGTCTTGGCACCACGAATGCGCGATCACCACCGGTGTCAACTCTTGCCACCCAGTGCTGGTGGAAACGGGGAGCAGGGGACAGGGGGAAGTCCCAGGGAGGTATATCCCTCTGCTATTTATGACTCAGAGATTTGGAGAAGGAACAAAATGATAAAGGTTCTGTTTCTTGAAAGGAATTTTAGAACACCTCGGGATTCTGACACTCAGCATGGCTTTAGGGGGAACAGTGAAATGTTTTGCGGTAAGATCCTGGCAGAAAAGACAAGTTAGCAGGAAACCTCTTTTCCTCGCTTACGGACTGGTTACAAGTTGGGTCAGTGGCATCTCGCTGCATTGTCATTGATCTCTTTCGCCACAAGTGATAGACGACCGTGAACACACACTAGCACGGTCTATAACCACGCTGGCCATCCGGCTGGGAGATTTCTCACGGCCCTGGGGTCCGCTGACAGCCACTAAACAATAGTCATTCTCCAGGACACGGCTATAACACAGCTGGGGTTGGCTTGTGAATATATGGGTTGAACCAATATGAAATTTCTGCTCCCCCAACCATTTGTCACCCGCAGCAACAATTTTATGGAGTTCCACTTAACACTATCCCAGCGAGGAGGCGGCTTGGTTTTATCAGAGGGAATTTCTTTGGACCGCAATACGTTTAGTAACATTGTATCAGCAACAGAAGCAATTTTATTTTTTCAAATGGGAGTTTAGCGCAATCTCTACTCAAAGCCATCTTCCTCCTCCTTTCCCCCAGCCAGAAAACCCATGCGACTTTTCTGATGTGTGCGTGTGCCTTTTAATCTACGTTAAGTGACTAAACAGCATTAAGAGAAACTTGGGAATATTCATCAAGCTGAGGAACAGAGAGAAAAGCTTAAAGATTTATGCCCGTGATGATTAGAGACTAATTTGATTGCATACTTGGGAATTTCATAATACCATAGCATTGTTAGTCCAGCATGGTTTCTATCAGTGCTTTCTTAGAACAGATGATTTTGTTGAGTGTGTAATTTTATACTTGTTAATATGATATTGGCCAGCCAAGTGGGAGTTAAAACCCTTTGGTCTCTATAAAAATGTACCATCTGTTTTTCTGTCCACAAGCAAGCAAGGGTCAGAAAAGCTCGATAAAGTCCTTACTCCACAACCAGGTAGCTCGTCGTCATGTGGTTTTATAGACTGTTAGAGCTGGATGTCAGGGAAATATTATTTAAACGAATCTGCAGAGTGCCACCACATCCGTGGCAACCTGCATCTGAAAACTGGTCAGCCTCTGGGTTGAGAGGCAAAATTAGAATCAAAAAATACTTTTGGGGGGTATTAAATATCATCCAAATTCTTAACCACTAGCTCTTTGTGAATAATTGAAAAACACCAAGTTACCCAAAGCTCCCACCCTATGTGTCCTATACACCCGAATGAGAATATGGGCTAGGCAATTGATTTTTATTGATCTCTAGCAACGGGAGTCCTGAGTACTATGTGACCTGCCATAAAGGTTGATCTAGAAGTTGACCAGCTGATTACTCCCCACCTTTGAAATGAGCAAGTTCATAAGCCAGCTTCCCCAACTCAAAACTCACCCAAGTGTCTTCTTTGCCCAGTTTGATCCACTGTTGGCATTGAAGGCATATATGGACACATCAGAGGCCAGCCACCTCTGTCCCTGGACAGCTTTATCCTTCCACTGTTTCTCCCAATTGAATTTTATGTTTGATAAAATGTGTTTATTCCATTGAAATACATATTGAGCAATTGGACATAATTACTTAGAAAATATGTTCTGTGATTCCTGCATGGGTGGATCTGGATTCTTTTAAAATTATATTTCATTCTATGCAGTTAGTGGCTTTTCAATTGTGTGTGTGTGTGTGTGTGTGTGTGTGTATACCTTACCCACTTCTGTTCCTACTCTCCATATTGACTAGAAGGGATAATGCTTGCCTCTTAATTTGGAGTGTTATTGCCCAAATGTGAGAGTTACTCTATAGCTTGTGAAGAAATAACTTTGGATATTAGGTCTATAAATTAAGAGAAGCTTTCTAAACCAACCTTAGCTTTTACAGCCAGTATCCACCAGGGCCTAATGTCAGGGTGACATAGCCCAGGCTATGGGGGTTCGCCAACTCTCACACAGAGTGCCATGTCTCTCAAACTCAATCAGGATGAATTTGCTGTGATTTTAAATCAAAATGAATTCAAGCCCTTAACAAATAAAGTCTGTGGATTTTGAAACAGTCTTACAGCCTTTGTCATAGGACACCACAACTGTCGTTGGGTCCCAGTGAGTCAGTTCTGACTCCTCCAGACCTGTGTGCAACAGAAGGAAATACTGCCGGTCCGGCACCAGCCACAGCATCATTGATGTGCCCGAGTCCTTTTGTGGCAGGATACTGCTAAGGACCAAAATTCACAGGAAGGATTTAGGCCAGTGGTTCTCAACCTTCCTCATGCTGCGGCCCTTGAATACAGTTCCTCATGTGGTGGTGACCCCCCAACCAGAAAATTATTTTCGTTGCTACTTCATCACTGCCATTTTGCTGCTGTGATGCATTGGGCAACCCCTGTGAAAGGGTCGTTTGACCCCCAAAGGGGTCACAACCCACAGGTTGAGATCCGCTGATTTAGTAGCTCTTCAGGGATTTTCAAGTGAAGCATGCTGGTTTTCTCAGCCGACTGTCAGAAATGTCACTATTGATGACCAAATGACACCTTTTAAATAGTAAGCCTTAGGTGAAACCAAAGGGTGAAAATAGAGTACGCAGAGGCAATGGAGGAATGATCAGAACGAACAGAATCCAAGGAGATTGACCCCAGGACCCAGGTAAAGACGTGGCTAGTTGGGTCTCCATGGATTTCAGTGCAGTGTTACTCGACATCAATTCATTTGTGAAAAGCAGCACATCTGAAATTGCTTGGGAGTGACTAATCAGAGTAGAAAAACAATTGGATCCCAAGAACAATTTTGTATGCTCTATTGCCGTAATACTTGTGTATAAGCCGAGTTTTTCAGCACATTTTTATGCCGTTTTTGTGGTAAAATTAGGTGCCTTGGCTGATATTCGGATTGGCTTATACTCGAGCATATATGGTATATGGAAAAAAAAAACGCCTTTAAATATCTGTGATAAAAATTATTTTTCTGTGGAGAGCAAATGTTTTGAGAATGATGAGGGCAATGAATGTACAAATGTGCTTTACACAATTGATGTATGTATGGATTGTGAGAAGAGTTGTATGAGCCCTTAATAAAACAATTAAAAAATAATTTTTCTATCAGAGGAGTGCGCATCAGCTGAAACAATTATATGAGAAGGTTTCTGAAAGTGCATGGAAAGTGAAATTCCAAGATAATGGCATCTTTTTCCCCCACGCACTTTTCAAAATCTCCTTGTACCCAGGCTGGTGGAACCCCTGTGAATCATTGCTGAAATAAATTCCGGCGTCCCAGGCAGCCAATGTTAAATTCCCTAACCGCATAGGAAGAAAAACCATAGCCCACTGGAAACAATTTGTAATTGAAAATAGATGGCAGGGTGTTGTCAAGGGAGGAGTTGTTTTAAGATTAACACATCCATACCATATCAATTTGTTTCATCAACTAGATAGTCTTCTTCCTTTCTTCCATTCTTTTTTATCATAGCAAAATGCATTACCCTTTTGGCTTTCTCCCCCCACCCACACGCACACACAAGCCACCTTCTAGGAGGCCCGTGTAGCCGGCAAGCCAACCAAACAAAGTGACCCATTAAACAAGGGGACATTCTTCCTGCTGATGGTCCAAGAATTCTTTGATGTTGAGAACTTGAAGACCCTTTTCTAACTTGATTGTGTGCCGGCAGCACAAAGGAAGGTCTAGATGCAGGTTTTCTCTGTAAATATCTGCCAGAGAGGACATCTGAAGAGAAGGTGTCTGGGGACTGGGCTGTAGTGGGAAAAAATGGCCAGCCAGATGGTGCTGGACATATGTGGTAGGGATGATCCAGCCTTCTTTGTTTTGTTTTTTTTTTCCTTTTTTAAGGAAATGCAAATGTGGGAAGGATCACGAGGAGCCACGTGGCATGGCTCCTTTTCTTCCTGACATTGCCATCAGTCTCCTTGCTAAGAAGACTCCACCTTGCTAGTTCATGGATTCACATGGAACAAGCATTCTGGCTTGCTTCTGGAATTTCGATTTGCCTTTCTTGAAACGGAGGGTCGCTCCTGGATTTTTATAACTGTCCTTAAACATGTCCCATTTCTCTGTAATTTGGACGTAGAGGTAAATTGACAGCCAACAACCTTAATTAGGTGATGTATCTGGAAACATGGGACATAGACAGTGTCCCATGATGTAAGTACCCCCTACACACACACACACACACACTGGGACTTATGTGTTGAATAAGAACTGTTCCAGAAATGCCCTCTGGCCTTTGTATGTACTGTGTGGGGGGTTGCCTGAGGGAGCAGATGAGCTTTTAAGAGATTGAAGTGTCCATTCCGGCCTCATAGATGCCTTTGCTTGGTTGTTCACTTAATAATCTTCTCCTTTGAAGCGCTACCCTTCCTCCACCCTCTCGGCTCGTGTTAGACTCATCTGACAGACCAAGACCAAACCACTGCCATCAAATCGATTCTAACTCCTGGTGACCAACTCATAGGTTTCCTCCTCCTGTGTAGCCACTGGTGGGTGTGAACTGCTGATCTTGCTGTCGGCAGCTCCGTGCCTTAGCGTACAGTGCCACCCGAGCTTTTGTAGGGACCATACCATGAGATGTGGTTTGATGTTGGTTTGGAATCATAATCGTGCTGGTTGCTGGGAAATTAAAAAGCAGGCCACTTTTCAGGGAATCAAGTAGAGGAACATAAAAGAATTTCCCGGCTCATAGACTGACTATCACTTGCATGAATTGTTTTATTCTTTAGTGGGAGGCAGCGTCGTTCTTCTGGAAAAGGTCAGATCATCAAAAATGTTAGTCTGGACGGAGCATGCTGTCCCTCCTGGACCTACTCAGCCAGAGCCAGTACTTACATCACTGAATGTGGCTCTGTGTCGAGAAAACTTGACTTACAAAAGCAGGTGGCCATAGCCGGCCAACCTCTCCTGCAAACCACAGTGTTGTTCTGGTGGTCATTTAATATTTTACATCACTGCCCAAAATGAAGGATGATAAGCCCACCTCTCAAAGACCTTGCCCCATGAATCGGGGCTCTCCAGGAAGCCGAGCCTCTGTCATTTCGTTGCTTTGGGTTTCTTAAAGATGAGAAAGACTACCAGTCTGTATTTCAGCTGCTCGGCCTTCAGCATCGAATCACCTTGTCTGTAAAAGAGAAGACACGGACCAGACCTTGTTTGCACTTTATTTATTTTTATTCTGCTCACAAATCTCAGATAACTGTGCATTTATCCATCTAACCCAATTCACAGGTACAAAATGTCAAATTGACATTTACCGCATGAAATGTAGAAACATACATGCTGGAAATATGGGTGACACCGATCACGCGCATCATGTCGGGCAGCAGCCACCTCCTATCCTTTTCCAAATGCTTTCACTCCCATGAACAGTCACTCCATGACCTAAGCCAGGGCCCGCACCCCCTTCCCTCCCCTTCCCAGTGATTTCTCATGGGTGCCCCTGGAAATGAACCCCTCACCGTTGTCGCTCTTCCTAAGCCACACAGCTCACTTCAGCCACAACTGGAAATCCTGTCCTGGGCTGTCACGGTCTCTTGCTTTTCTCTGAGTGCCCCGTCTTCCACTCTGAGCTCCGCAGGACAGCAAAGAGGTACTCTTCCAGGCTGCCCATCCCAGACAGGGTCTTTGGAATACACCCTTCGAGACGAGGCAGTGCCTCAGTGCCAGGTGGCTCCCCTCTAAGTGTTGCGACCTTGCCCATAGAGTTAAAAAAAAAATCAACATTTTGCTCTTTGAAAGTGTTCCAATCACAGATTTAGTGGCTAATTAGTGTTGGCTCCAAAAGCTAAAAGGAGCATAATTTACTTTTCCTTTATATCTAAAGATTCACGGTAGTCAAAACGTCTCAGTAGCATGGACCCAGGGAGGTCAGAAACAGCGGGTGCGGTTCCTGACCTCTCCCCACGGCTGCTGGAGTCTCTTGTTCTCCTGGTGCTGGTGTGTTTGTTGTAGGTGCCTGCAGCTGCTACCGAAAGGTTTGCAGACACCCTCCCCCATGCACACCAGGAGATGTGGACAAACAGGCAGGAGGGGAGCCCCCAGACTCACATGACTGACTTGGGTGGAGGTTAAGTGTGGCAGGGGACCTAGAGGGCCATTTCCTGGCCAAAAGCTTTCACAGTTGTTCTCCTGTTTATAGCCAAATACTTATTTGGCAAGCATTTATTGGGCACCTACTGTGTGCTGGCCATGTGACACTATATATATTTTTTAAGGAAGATGACCACTTTCAGGCAAAGTGAACTATACTGCTTGCGTGAGTTTGATATGGAGGGCTTCCAGGACCTTTTATTATTATTATTATTCCATTGTACAATGAGGTGACGGTGACGTCGCCAGCTTCAGGCTCTTTCCGCAAGCGATGTCTGAGCAGGATCTCCGCAATCAAACAAACAGTCTAGCTTCGGTGTAAGGCCCCTGAAATAACATTCATGGCCTGGGACCCGGAACATTTTGGCAGGAGGCAAAGAAGTAAAGCTCACCTCCAGAGGGACCTCAGAAAAATATGGTTAACCACTCCCTTAGCCAAAGAGTGGAAAACGAGCAAATCTACAGGCCACAAGAAGTCATCAGGTGCTGGGCAGTCAGTTCTGACTCACAGCGACCCTGTTATGCACAACAGAACGAAACACGGCCTGGTCCTGTGCCAGCCTCACTCACCATTGCTGCCAGGGGGACCCGGTGTCGCAGCCACTGTCAGTTCCAACATGGTGGTGTCCAGTGGCCCCAGCTCCCACCAAGCCTCTGGCTGAAGGATCTTGGTCAATTGATTTCCTGTAACCTTGCCTTGCTTTCCCTCCTCAGGGAAGACAAATAGTTCTAGTAGCTGTTTCATGAGGTGGTTGTTACAATTGAGGTGGACCAGGTGCAGTGTGCTTCCTGCCCCACCCCCCCACCCCCAGCATTGTTCTTGACGATAAAAACAAATATTCTTTTGTTGTCCCAACTTTACCCTGGCTTTTTTAAAAGATGTTTTTATCCTACCTTGAAGTCCAAAAAAGGTTTTCCCTGGAAATGGTGTCTGTACTTCCCAAGCTGGAATATTCTGAGTGTCTGGAGATGTGGTGGAGAGCGGAGCACATGCCCGTCAGTCTCATAGGCCTGCTTACTTGGTCCTTGTCTTCAGTAATTAGAGGTGCTTGAGCTGCTAATGGAATAATTGCCCACAGCAGCAACAGAACCATTTTAAAAAGCCTCTTTTAATATTTATGGCATCACAGAAGGACCTACCTCAACCCCCCCTAATTTGTGTGTGTGTGTGTGTGTGTGTTTTGTTTCATGTGATTCTCAGACATGAACCAGCCAAAATGATCTTATGGGCTCTAAGGGATTTCAAGATTCAGGTTCAACTAACAGTTACCAAAAAGCCTTCTTTATGCCAGGCAAATTGATAGGTTTTCTCCTCCTCAAGGCCCTCCGTGCTATCAAGGCAAATCTGACTTGCAGCCACCCTAGACCTCTGAGAAGTGGTAAATACAACCAGAATCCCCACCACCACCACCCCTCCTAGAATCCAGCTATCACCAGGTCTGTGAGTAAGCAGTGGTGCTAGTCCTTACAGCCTAGACTTACAGCCCGTTCTCTCTGGCATATGAGGAGATCATGAGAATAGGTCGGGTTCAATCCAGAACATTCTGGATTCTGAAGCACCGAGCTTAAGATCAGGCGACAGAGACTGTTGCAGATGAGAGTGGAAAGGCAGGTGCTTCATCCAAGATTCGGCAGACCATGGTCTATCTGCCAGATTTCCCGGATGAGGGCTTGGGTACTGATATGGAAGCGGGCACGGGTATGCACCTCTGCTTGGGCAGCTGGCAATGATGATATTGCTCTCTTGGTCTGAAAGTGAAATAGAAAGAAAAATATTGTGAGAAGCCATATTCCCACTCGAAACTAGTGTCTGCCCCAAATGAGCCTCCTAAGGGGTGGGAGGGGGTGGGGTGGGGTGAAAGCAGCACAAATAAGGAAAGAAGACCGTGGAGGGTGGGGGATCTATGTTACCTCACATGCAAACCCAGAAGGGGCAGGTGTAAAGCAGTGCCATTTGCTCATACTGACTGATGAAGCTGCTACTTACTGAGGAGTCGCGTTGCAATCGTGGATGTATATGGGTAATACCCCTGCTGCCTGTAAGTCTGTGTTAAAAGAATAACTAGAAATGCTTATGTAGACTCTTTGCTGGGGATGGAGACACTGACTCTTTGCCACCTGAAATTGGCAGTGAACAGCAGAGCTGAAATGGAAATTGGCAGGTACCACTGGATGTACCCAGGCTCAAAGAACCACCAGTACCATCCTGTGCCAACCCAGGGGGACAGGGCTGGCCCCTTGAGCAGTCCAGGTAAATACAGCCTCGGGATGCGTTCTCATAGCAAGTCACTGTTCTCTTTACTATGATTTGTAATGGCTTTATCAGTTTGGTGACATTTTCTGTTTTGCTTTGATGCATTTATTTGTTCACATGGGTGTGGGTGGAATTGGCCCGTTGACAAGTTGTAATCATCTTTCTTTTTCTCCTCTCTCTCTCCATTCCACCCCATCACTCTCCTCTTTTTCCCCCCTCCCTTCTGCCCTGTCCTGCCCCTTACCCCCTCTCCTCAAAGGGAGCAGTACCCAGTGAGCTGTGCTTTTGGCTAAACCATGACATGTCCACTGGCAGAACCAGTAATGGGGCATGGGGGAAGCGCGGGGAGGGCGTAGGCATCTTGTACATCCTGCCACAGGGCCAAGCGCTGAGCCTGGGTGCCCACAAGTGGTCCCAAGTGTCTTCCCAGCCCCGCTGCCTGGCACCAACTCTCTTTCCATCTCAATTATTGCCTTTGAGAAAGAGAAAAGCAAAAAGCAAAGTCCAGGAAATTAGGATTGAATAACTGTGGGCTCCGCCCCCACCAGGTAGGTTCCTGAGATCCACTTTCCGGTTTCCTTGCTCAAGAAGGACGCTGATCTCTCCGAACTGCCAGGTGCTATTTGTGGGAGGAGCACGCGCCTGCCAACTTGGGGTGGGGGTGGGGGTAGCGAGAGGGAAGAACTGCCAACCACCCTGACAGTCTCCCCTCCCCCTCCCCAGTGCCACAATCCGTTCCCAGCAGGTCTCAGTGATCCAAGGGACAGAACGGTGGACCTAAAGGGATGGTGGGCCAGATCAGCTCTGCCACTACTAAAGGAGGGCCATGACACCGGTGTCCTTGCTCTCAGGGAGGCCACTTGCCTTTTCAAAACCCAACCAGCAACCATCGGGTAGCACCACCTACAACCCAGCTGAGAGCACACCTGTAGCCCAGGCCTGCAGCCCCATCAAATGGCAGGGGCTGAAAGCCCATAACTAATCCAATAGTGAAGCGTTTGCATTTTCCTTTTAAACTTGATCTGTAGCTTCAGGTTACCATGTCATCTGACTGTGGATTTATTTCTCGATCTTGAGAAATTCGACATAGGGCCGGTAGGGGCCGGCTCGGCATGCATTTCTGTTATGTGGTGGTTATAAAAAGGGAGCAAGAGGTTATGATGACATTCATTCTCATAGAGCCTTTAAATTGATGGTAATGGTAGGTTCTGGGATCTTGATAACAAATCTGTCATTAACACCACACACATACACACACACACACACACACACACACACAACAACAACAATAAATACAAACCCACTGCAGTCCAGTCGATGCTGACCCTATAAGACAGAGGAGAACGGGCCCCTAAACCCCCAAGGCCTTTCATCTTCCTGGATGCAGACTGCCACATCTCTCCAATCTGCTGTTAGGAGGGATTAAGCCATACGATGAAATGTGTTGGGGTCATGAAGCGGACTGAAATTCTGGTACATGCTACAGAAGAGAAGAAATCCTGGTACACCCCTACAGAAGAGAAGAAATCCTGGTACACCCCTACAGAAGAGAAGAAATCCTGGTACACCCCTACA